GTATGCATATATTTGCAACATGAAATTACGTGCGAGAAATAATATTATACTTAGATATTCTACCATCACGTTAAATACATTATTATCAAACCGTGTACAAGCACATTTCGACGTGTCAAACGTGGCAAAGTCTTATTACATTCACATTATTGTTAAGATCGTGTCAAAAAAACCCCTAGTAACAGGCATCAACGATCAAGAAAAGACTTCTAGAGTTAACGAGCCAAGTTTCAAGATCATTAACCGCTCGCACGCATTAATTGGCGCAGATACATTACAACAAACCTACAGATTAACACCTTGCCGACAAAATTTAATCAACCAATATTAATATGTTCGTAGAAACGTATTCTGGCAAATCCCATCATTAACTCAAAGAATAACGCATAGGATTTGTACTCTTGTAGCACTTAAAGTTAGTTTTGCTACGATCATAGCAACTATTATGATCTGAGTTTGACAATTTCGAGATGATCCAAAATCACTCAATTCCTTTAGCACCAAGATTGTCCAACTGTACTTTATTTTTCACCATCAGTCGGCGTATAATTTATAACAAGTAATTGCTTTTTCTGTAATTGATCAATCCAAAAATTGTACTGCGTACTTGAACATTTGTCGTCGTAAAGGTACTTGTAATTGCAACATCTATAAGGAAGTGAACAAGTAATGGAGGTGAAAAACAGCAAGGAAACTAGCGTCACAATGTGAATCGGAAAGTGATATTAAAATTATACAGACAGTGCGATATGTATGAAAGGCTTCACACTCAATAACAAAAGAAATTATACCTGAATAGCAAGTTACATGGAGCAGTAAAACGATAATCCAGTATAATAATATCACTATCCGCAGTTGTATTCACTTTCTTCCCTCTTTTCTTCCCTCTACTACCATCAGTATTGCTGACGTCTTGAGTCCTTTATTTTGATATGCTTCTGGCTGCCTTATACCTCGTCGTAGAAAGTACTCCATTGCGGGATGACATAGCATGTTGTCAAAATTGACTTTGCACAAATGCTCGGAAACGAGATCTACTTTCCATATCAATATGCCAAAGTTCGTCAGTCGGTTATTAACAGCATAGATAATATCCATCATCAAGAATACAAAACGTATGTGAGCTTGAGATTATACAATTGTTTTTTCATTCTGTTAACATACAGAATATCTAATAGTTAGGACAGTTGCCATTACTATCTGTCCCATTTATGTACATACCACAGGCTTCTTACGTATGGCCCGAAGTAAAAATAATACCCTCCTGTTGTAGGCCTGATCTGTGAATTGGTGGAGTTGTCATTAGCCACGGTAAAGTGAAAATTGTTAAAGTAACACCAAAATTGTCGAGCGCACTTACCAATTGTCTACTTATTTGTCGTGAGACAGAACATAACTCTTCTCTATTCTGTTGTTATAATTATACTCTGAAGAGGGGTAATGGGAGCGTAACAACTGTTACAATAGCAATTCAGACTCCTTAGTCAGTCGTATATAGACCAAGGCTATAATTTCACATATTGTTAAGATGCGAATATATATCACAAACCACACAATTGCTCCAGCAGCAAATCTACTACGCAATGATTCACCTCGAAGCATGAAACCTTCAGTCTGTTACGTCACTGTGATGCTCGTGAGCCTTTTCTACTAGGCCTTATATGTTCGACACATATAAAGATCTTGGAGAGTTTATAATTCTCCATAGTGCACATTATATGGCCTCATACAACTGATCGAAGCACAATCCAGGTGGGTAATATGATCGAATTCTTATGCCCTAATGCAAGAATAATAATATGATTTTTAATGATATTCTCTGTTTTTTCTTATTGATCATCCCAAGCAATTGCGGAAGAAGAATGTTTATTTCCTAACGACATAAAAAGCTTCGTGAGATATGCTAAGCTAGTCTGAACACTTTCACCCCAAGTAAATAAAAATAAGTGACATAAATATGAGGAATTAAGGGAGTGATTTAAAATAAAATGATACAAACTTTGTGGTTCCGAAAAGTATCCATGTACATCAAATCCGAAATATTGAAAAAGGCGTTTTCAATGAAACCGTAGACCCAAACTCTATTGAGATTTTGAATCTATTAAGATTTGAATCCATTGTTCTTCGTTATCGCCGACTATATAAACAAAAACAGGTCATTATCGGCTCGAAACCATATCTACTACCTACCATCTGTTGAAAGCACAATTATTTCAAACTAAAACTCAAAGTTTATACGTTACTTATATAAACGCAGTCCCAAGCCACAAACTCGAAGAATATCCCTTCTACAATTAGATCTTTTCCTCATCTTTTGTGTGAGTTTCAATTTCGTATAATTTCCGATCGATCGGGCTGATCATCGTAAAAGACACTAAAAAGATTGTTGCATTATGTCCTATTAAAGTGATCGAAACGTATAGCGGCGGAAAATATAAAGATCGGGAAAGACGCAAGACGCAATGTCGCAAGTTATATTACAACAGTTTAACTTATCATAAAGACATACCGATAGTGTTATTGATGTTACAGCAATGACCGTTAAAGTGTCGTAAAATTGGTTCGTAAGATCTGTATAACACAAGTAACTTTTTGTTCTAAAGTGTCTGTTTTTTCTCCAAAGTGTCATGTTTTCTCCAGGAAAGCCCAGTTATGAGACGTTGGTTTTGCATCCAGATCTCTTCATCATTATTACCGACGTGTGTCTTTTCAAGAGTAGGCAGTAGTGAGCGGATAATACGGACAATAAAGATTTTTTATAGATAGAACAACACTTAACAAAGTGTAAGCGAGATATGTGTATACAAGCGTCGGAAGCAAGCAAGCGCTCTGGCAAGGACTTTGTAAAGGACTACAAGCGATACTCTTGAGAGAAGTGGGTAATAAACGAACAGTCATAAGCAAACGCTGATAACCTATTACTAAAAAAAATTTTTTTTTCTTCTCCTTGCTATTGTTTACGCAATAAAAAAAATAATAATAATAGTAAAAAATTTTTTTAAGGGGCGAGTTACTAAAGTTAGAAAATTTTTGATATCAATAAGGCAATTTTGATTGGTAAGAGAGCGCGAGTAAAAGGGAGTCGAGTAAAATGTTGCTAATACTGATAACCTGAGAAGCGAATTACTAAATTAAGGGAAAAAAATTTTTTCTAATGGCTATCGGCTTACGCAATAAACGAAACATAATACCTTACTTTTAAGGGGTGAGTTACTAAAATTAGATCTAAAATTTTTGATATCAATAAGGCAAATTTTGATTTTCTGCAAATTTATGCAACGATGGGAGAGAACGGAACCGCGAAGGACCACGAACAAGAATTTCATGAAGTGTTGAAGAAGATTAGTAATGTCCTCGGTATGACGATAAACTGCCGCCTTTACATGTTGCAACCACCTCAAACTAAAGCGCGAACGAGGGTTGACATCTACTAACATGGTGGATGGAGAGTGCTTCATCAAGGTCTTAATATGTCTCCCTTCATCCCGCGAATAAAGGGTAGGATATTAATAAAGTCCTAACGGTATTCCGTCTCAGCAGGGTTCGGAGTTTGTTAGGCACCAACCCACTTGAAATGCTGCCACCTCAACGTGGTAAGTGGGGGGCAACGTTAATACGGCAAAGAGCAGCATGACTAAGAAAGTGACATAGTGGAAGTAAGTGCGCAATATAAGTCGGGAGACATGAGTTTGACACGGACATGAGTTTGACACAAAATGACATAGTGAAATCATAAGTTGGGAGGCATGAGTTTGACACAAACCTTTTGGCGGACATGAGTTGTGTGAGTAAATACTGTTTGTCCGCCCCTGCGCATGGCGCTTGCAAGCGCGCACGTAAGTTGGGAGACATGAGTTTGACACAAACCTTTTGGCGGACATGAGTTGTGTGAGTAAATACTGTTTGTCCGCCCCTGCGCATGGCACTTGCAAGCGCGCATGTAAGTTGGGAGACATGAGTTTGACACAAACCTTTTGGCGGACATGAGTTTGCCTGTCCGCCCCTGCGCACGGTGCTTGTACTTGCAAGCGCGCACACATAAGTTGGGAGACATGAGTTTGACACAAACCTTGAGACGGAGAGGTATAATAAAAGTCCTAACGGTATTCCGTCTGTTAGGAACCCCCACTCGACATGCTGCCACCTCAACGTGGTGAGTGGGTGACAACGTCTTATATGGACGGCTAAGAGCAGCATGGTATTCCCGCTCGATAAAAGTGGTGAGTGGTGACAACATTATAGATGCATAACAAACAATACTTATATAGTTGCAAAGATGTTATTACAACTCACTAAATTCTTTTCAGAACATCAAACGTAATCAAATCAAAAACTGAATCATTATGGATCAGTCCGTCGTTACAGGTGAGAATTCTCACTGGGTATTTGTTGAGATATTATGTGTCTGAAGGGACGATGCCACTAGGTGTAAATCGGAGAACTTGAAAGCGCATCGTGGCCACAGCTTGCGAAAGTCGCCAGCCGGGTATGGAGATCCCTAGCCCCGGCGTACGGAGGACGGCCTGCTGTGAACGTTCAGACTCCGTTACCGAAAGCCAATACGGCGGAAGGTAGGAGGGAATTGAAAGCGCATCGGGCCACAGCTTCTTGCTGTGAACGTTCAAACTCCTACCGAAAGCTGTTGGAGGAGGGTAGGGGCTGTGGTGAATAGGATTACATAATGTACTATACTGTGTGCTGCCCCAGTGCGGGCGGCGCCAGATAGTAAACGACGCATGTACTCATTTAAGTTAATTTATATTATATCTAGGCATGAACCGGGAGACGAGGAATTATCGATTTAAGTGGGTGGTTTCGAGGATAATACAGTGTAAGGTAACTATATATTATCATCATTTTTAAATCTTATTTATGCTTATAAAACTTACATGTATGTTAACTATCCCTTAATTTGTAGTAGTAGGCCAATTTTTGGCAAATTTGACACTCATGCTTGTGATGCATTTTGAGAAGAATAATATTATGTTATTTGCACTTTAACCATTAAGAAAAAAGATTAACCTTGTTTTGGAAATTTAAATGAGCTGAACTACATAGTGAAATGATGTATAGTTGAAAAGTAATTATGCATTTAAAAAATAAAAAAGATTTACCTTGTCCAAAATTACATCTTAAGTAACGTTGTTCTATAGATTATTTCAAATCCAACAAACCATAAATCACAGCAGATAGATGCTTCGGTTGACAAGCAAATAGCTATTTGAATATAATCACTCATTTGCAGCTATTTACTAACTAATAACATGAAGACTTTTTGCTAAGCTGTTTGTGTCTCCTGTATTAATAAAAAGATTACATCACAAGATGCATAATATATAAAACCCCACCTGAACAATCAAATTTACGTTCTGTAAATTTCACATCCCAAAATCCTTATCACAACAAAAATCTCTTCAACTTTTTATTATTATTTATAAAAGTATCATGCCTTTGGAAATTCGGTCAATCGGAGAAGTCATCAGAGTCTTCGAATATCAATGACTATTGAATATATAACGCATTGTTGGATAATGAAGACACTCCGGTGTGTAGCTTATTATGTAACTCAAACGGCAAGTCTGCAGATTTGTACCCACTCTACAAACTAGTACCGAATGATGGTCATCTGATAACTATTGATGGCTGTTTCTTGCATAATTAATATAGCTCTTAGTCAAATTTGCTACATTATAGTTAATCTCACTCAGGGAAACTTATGAACTACGCTGAATTACTATTAAACATTGTCTTAGTACTGACAATACGATTTGCCTCCCAGCCAATACTGTCATATACATATCTAAAAGAGAAACTTTATATCAGTTAACTAAAATACCGTTATGGCACCGTACATTTTAAAAGTACTTGACGCTATATGGAGTAGAAAGCTTGGATAATGTGTTCAATTTCTCGTTTATCCACCCGCAGGTTTTAATTGCGATGCAAGTACTGTATCAACAGTACGCTCCTTACGAAAACAAGTGCTAACGCACCACGTTTATAATAAGAAACAGTCAATTTCTTTTTTGAGTAACATTTTTATTGTCGAACACAATTTTCACGTGATACGCGACACGTCAAGAGGGTGCCAAATTCTGTAAAGTCTATATAAAACGTTGCTTATTCTGAGTCTTATTTCTTTGTAATGTTTAATTAAACTTCTAAAAAACTCTCCATTAGTTTGAATGTTCAGTAAATTAAAGCCTCTAAAAAATTTGCCGTGTCCAGGTGGTCCGGGCCAATATGACCTAGGCGAATACCCGTATCCGAGCGTTTTGGTCAGTAACGATGAAATTTATCATGAAGTATAAAAATATCTTAAATTAATACTTTCACCAATCGTGTACCAACCTACGCAGAATTATGCTAATGCTAGTTAAAATACATTAACATACTAATCAGAGGTGATGTTACTAAGTGAAAATTCCTCGATTTCTGAGTTGGCAAAATATGATTGTTAGAGAGCAGAGATTAACATTCTCTATTAAGAGAGGATTGCTTATCGACAATGCTTAATGCTCGTAGCTAAATCCGTATTGACAATTAGTGACCTTAGATTGAGTGAATGTTAGCAGGCGAAACAAGATTTTTAATTCTAAAAAAAAAAAAAACAAACCCCGGCCAACACTCTTAAACGCATCTGATTACAACTTTTACATTCTGTCTTGTGTACGCAACCCTCGATTATCTTTGTAATGCCTCTACTTCTATCGATGAGATAAATTTCGATAGTCTGTATGTACGATTGGGGAATGTTTATATCAAAGTAAACGTGGTTGTAAACAATTAATTTTATAATTTCCATCAAGAATGCGAGCATTTTTTAGTAGAATTTATATGGGTAGTTTAATAACGTTTATTGATTAACATTTATTGAAAAATACTGTAATCCAGTTGTTAGCAACACTGTACAACCATAAATTACTGGTTAACACAATTGGATTCCACATATTTGTTGAAATGAAGCCTTTGTGTGGAAATATCACCAATATGCCAATGTATATAATTATTACAATTACATTATAAGTCGTGATTTATGGATTTCTGACCGTTTTGCTATTACTGTATTATGCGTGAGATTGATAACCGTAAGGATAAAGTCCAACGTTATCAATTTCTCAGCTAAAAATGTGTTATATCCGATGCTCATATAATAAAATCGAGTCAAGGCAATGGCATAGAGTCATACTCGTACAAAATTTCTTGGCTAGAATTAGCAACGAGATTTGCGTTGTGACATGTGAAGAATAGCGCGTTTAGTAGTTCACAATTAAATATTAAATATTCGTAGTACATAAAATACTACGAAATACATATACACTTAAGAACATGTCGAAAATGTTACTTGTTATTTGAACAGAACAAATATTCTGCTATCTACAAAACTATTCTCGATGTTCAAGCATCGATTGATTTAATTGTCGACTTTATATATACGAGTTTGTTATCCAACTGCATACGTGTAGTGTGTAACCGTCAATAATGCGTAATTTACAGAGCATAACGACGGAAATAAACTATTTAAGCACTATAACCATTCCTCCTACAGGTCTACGTAAAAAGTCTACATCTTTTGTAACACCTCTTCAGCCGGCCTGTTATTAGAATCTTAAGGCTTTGTCTAGACGTAGTCCTAGAGCAAGCAACATAAAGTTGGCCATGAGAAAATACTAGAGTCGGCAAATAAATTCCTACGTAATTTAAAGTTTGACTTGTGTCTTATTGTTATTGATGGTCATGACAAATACAAAGGCAAAATTCGAGGAAGAAAGGCACGTGATCCAAAAAATCTTCTACGTTACACTGTATGCAATAGCGTGCAGAAATCCATTTATTATTATACACAGTGAAACCGGATATAACGAACCCCGGATACAACGAATTTGGCTTATAACGAAGCTTTTTTGCTGCACGGAAAATTTTAATAGTAAAATTGTTTGGATATAACGAAATTAATTATAAAATCCTCGATATTGGATATACCGAAGAAAACCTCCACACAATCATATTTAAATTTCCCTTGATAAACCGAAGTTTGTACAACTATTGTCTTGTAATACAAAGGTTTTCAGCTATAATCGTTATACGCTTCTTGTACGACATTTATTATTATAAGTCTTCGCTAAAGTTGTGATTATACTTTCCACTTACAGTCGTCCCTCATTTGTATCCCCTTCATTTATATCCCACCCTCGGATATAACCCAGTCTTGATGCTGGACGGATTTCCCCTATTGTATCTCTGTATAAATTTCCCTCAGTTGTATCCCACTCAGATATATCCCTATCCCCAATATTCCAATATCCCAATTTCCCATATCTATAATATTTATTACGATCATGGGACTCGTTTATATCCCCGCTTTACTGCTATTTGTGTTACATAAAACATCATGTCGTTTCTATATCTACTTCCATATTACTTAGTTGCATACAAGTTTGGACTGCACTTTATTATTATGTAGTGTGTCCTTAAATGCTCATTTGTCACCAGAACTTTGCCGCTCATTTGTAATTTAGGATCTGGTTTGTGGGCTGACTCTATGACCTGAGTAACACAACATGCCACTTTTTTCAATATATATAAGGGAAAGTATTTCTGCTTAATATTTACGAGATTACAATCTTTACTAAAGAACTATGTTTAATTGACCCATCACTGATAAATTCTCTTGTTCCCTAAATACGGCTAAACCCGCAAATTCAAATATATCATTTGAGGACAAAATCGACAGCATTAAAAGGAAAGAAGATAATACCAAGCTGAGCGATGAAAAGTTAAAAATTTTTAGAACAAAGAGAATTTACAACTGAAGAAGATATTAGATACGTTCGTAGAAAGGTCTAAACGCAGACCTTGTTAACAGAATATATTACCAATAAAATTGCTTGTTTACTCAATTAATAAATATATTTCAGTTATATCCCCGCTTCAGATATATTCCAAAAAGTTTCGGTCCCGAGGTGGGGATATAAACGAGGGATGACTGTACTTTCAATTCTTTTTATTCACATATTATTATCAATAAACTAGAAGTGTCCTGTGTTGCCAGCCAATTTCATCGTCCGTCCTTAATATACAGTAGCGATCATAAGTATCCTAACATAATGTAAACCATTTCTAAGAGAGTCAGGTAAATTGTCAAACCTTTGACTTGAAAACTAATGTGCATAAGTATTATACTCCTAATTCGAGACAGAAACGAGTAAGCGCTTTAGAAATTTCACTGTGTATAGTGTATCACGAACCCTGATTACCTATAAAAACATATCAAAACCGCATTTGCTCTTTTTAACATAAACTTCAAAAATCCATGTCCCCATACATCTCTAACCAAATTTCGTTATTTTGTTTGTCAAATCTGTCTTTAAATGTCCTTTAAAATGTTGGTCGGAAATCATAGTTTATACTTGGAAATAATAATAAACGTGCAGGATATCATTAGTATCATCATGTCGCACAATTATTTGTATTCTGTAGTAGCAACTACAACAGCAATTCGTTCAATAATTATACTAATGCTAGAAAAGTGTCGAGATATGAATTTTGAACCTTTATGGCCAAAATTGCGCATAGGTATGATACATCTTGAAGTAAAACTTTGGGCGTTTGAAAATTTCGCTGAAGACATCTGATTGAGTTGAACTTTTACAGGTAATCTAGGTTTATAATGCACTATTTGCAGGAAAATTTTCAAAGCGTTTGCTCATTTGTGTCCCGAATTAAAGGCTTATAACCGCTACTGTATTAATGTTATGCAAATTACAAGTTCAGTTTAATAATCTGTTATTTTATTGATTTAGTCCAACTCTCACACGAGAATATAAATTTTTGAGTCATTATAAAAAGTAGTGTTAAAAGTTAGCAATGATTTAGAAAAACGGAAGCAATCGAAGAATTAAATGGCAAAATAAAACAATTAGAAAGTATATTAAGTAAATAATGCTGACATTGTGAGCAACTTCTTTCAAAAAAATTCCTTCGGGGAGCTTGATACAGGAATTTAATGAGAGAGATTTTTTTTTGTAGTTCCTGTTTCTTTCGATATTCGCTCTTTGTTGTGAAATTGTTTCTTGGTTGGTCATTGGACTTCTCCTCATCTATATAGCGTATGATGTCATTTTTGGTCAACCATGGTTTTTTTTAATGGCAGAGCGGGCAATTTCGTTAACTTTTGTTGTTGGCTATTGGTTTCATTAATATTTATTGAAAGCAGTGCTATCAATTTATGCAATTGAAATTTGGTTCCAAAATGTTATTGATGTCTATATTAATATAAATGCGATGCACAAGTAAGACTTAGTTCGCTAAGAATTAAGAGTTGTCTCACTCATTATATCTAGAGTATGTCTTCAATAGCCAATTTTTGCTCAAGCCTTTGTTTGTTTTTACTGCATTAGCGTTCGTATAATTGTTCCCGGGTAATGTAATACAATAAGTGTCTTAACTCAAACTATGTTGTTCACATCAAAGGTTCTTGGTTCAATCCTGTTATGTAAATAAATATAATAAACTTGAATGGATTCCTTACTCACAAATTACCGACATAGAGCCAACTCAAGTTGGTGCCGTCTACTGCGCTATTCGTTCGATGATGGAAAAGTTGATAAGACGATGATAATACTGGTATTCCTTGGAAGTAGTGAAGAATGTACACCAACACTTGTTGTCAGCACTTCCAACACACAAGCACAATAATGATGACAGTCAGTTTAGACGGTACAAGAAATGGCTTGAACATCGCAACTACTCAATAAAGGGATTTAACAAGTATGATGGTAGCTATTACATGGTAGCTAAGAGACAGTTTTACGATTGATATGAATTCTGCTTCGCATGTGGAATACTCCACTTGCGGACATAAACAATTATCCAATGGATGGACTAGCAACAATAAGCAATTCGATGAGTTTATTAAGAAATCTTGATTACAAACAAACTCACCAAATGATGCCTATTTGGAATAGATTCCATTTGATTGTATTAATGATAGGGAATATCTTGGCCTATACTTGGATGGTCTACCTAATCATGCACCTGTTGAATTGATTCCACTCGAAATAACAGATGAGACACATGGTTTATATTATACTGCGAGGTTTTTGTGATCACATATTCCATCTTTGAAGCGAAGGACTATTCGTTGGTTCAACACATCTCGCATTGTTCTGACCAATTTGTAATCGTGAATGTGAAATTGAGTAATGTCATCAAAGTCCGGGGGCCCTGTCTGTTCATATAGGAACACTTTTTCACGGCTTCGCCAGAGACGAGCTAGTCCATCCGCACACTTTGCTTCTAAAACTTTATCAACGATTGGATTTATGTCTGCATTACGACGATTTTTGCTACTTTCTACTGGGACTTCTATAACAGTGTAATTTCACAAAATTAGTCACCACAAATAAAACTTTTCCAGGATGAATAATTAAACTTACATTCTCCAGTCAATGCCACATATAATCTTCAGTGTATTCTCTATTATCGGACTCACGAATTGCGCATTGTACTGATTTCCTCTAAGATCACCTGACTTTAGTATGTTGTACGTACGGTGCTTCAAAAGCTTTGATACTAAAAAATACAAATATTTTATTGTAACATTTCGCATACAATGAATAAAAGGATCATAAAGGAAACATACTATGGTCTAAGAATATTGTGGATGGCATCTACTAGGGTTTTTTTGTTTTCGTCAATTTCTTTGCCATTATGAAGTCCACGCCAAGCCTTTGTCCATTTTTCTTGGCTATCCTTTGGCTGTTTGTCATTAACAGACAAAATAAGTAACAAATGTAAACAAATCGAAAACATTTCACCTTTCTCAGATACCTCGAAAAATTCTTGTATAAAATTTTTCCATTCCTCTAACACAAATTTATTCCAAGATTCTTCTGCGATTTCGTCTGTGAAGCGTGAGGTAGGTCTCATATCCATGATGTCACTATGACATAGGCTAATAAAGGCCAATAATAATAAGATTACTGCTTCAGATCAATATTAACTACGAGAGCCGATCATACTCACTCAAAGATGTTTTTACATTTATTACAGTAATCTATGAAAGTTTCCTCCAGGTCAATGTCATCTACCGTCAACGGAGATCTTTTTACTTTCTCAACCATCGATCCTGTCACTTTTCTCAAATTATTCTCTGGACCTGAATTAATTCAAACAAAATATGTCAGCAACATAGTGGATGTGTAGCACAACAATTTGTTTGCATCATACCGCCTCATTCTCTTCATTGTTGTTGCTGGAAGAGCTTAATAATATCTTATTTTCCTTCGTGCCTAGCTTTATGTTGTTTTTTTTATTTCTCTGATATCTGCTTTTTGGCTCGCCCAATTTCTTGTATACTAATACTTTTGATAGTGCGCTAACAATAGACAGTTAAAGAAAATCATAAGCATCATATAATGTTACGCATATTAGTAAGATCAAAAACAATACATACTCTTTGTACCCGATCCGTAATAGCTAGTGATTCTAATTGTTTGAAATGCTTGTTCCATAACAAAATATTTGCAGAATCGTTATCAGAGTTCTTAGCAAAAATATGAAAGAAAAGTCAAAATTAAAGTGTTTCATTATAGATTAATTAATTGATTCCCTATTAGCCACACATGCTATAATGGAGCTCACGGCTCAGACTATAACACGCTTCCCACTTCAGGCAACAACGTATGTTGCCTTGTGCGAAAAAAAAACGCTCAAAACATGACTGCAGGGTCATAAGCTAATAGTATCAATGGTGCTACCGGACGCATATTACCGCTTCCCACTTCAGACAACAACGTATGTTGTCTTGTGCGACAAATCGCTCAAAACATGACTGCAGGGCATGGTAATGTGCACCTATAATAAAACATAGTAAGAAAGGTACCAACCTCCAAAGCCTTTTTCAAAACAGTTGCCTGAGAATAATGGCGACTACTTTTTGGCAGGTTCTTAAGAAGGATACCAAGTCCAATACCCAGATTTCGATGTGCTTCGTTTCTAGTGCATCCAGGAGTTTCCTCGATAAATTGAATATCTCAATCACTCAAGCATCCCCAAGAGTTTGGGTCCCGACTCCGGTATGCTAAGAGAAAGCAAAGATTATTGAAGTTTCTTCTTGTGATCATAGAAATTTGAACAGAAGCTTACTTGAGTGGTGAAGACCCCAACTTTCAATTTTCTCGGCTAAATTTTCTGCTGCGATAATCGTGGGTGTGGACATGGTTAAGTGCCAAAAAAATTTTTCTGTCAGTTTAATTAAATTATACGCGTGATTTGTCGGACTTGTTAACCAGTGAAAAATATTTTACTGCGACTGTCACGATTATTTCCGTAAGTAAGAATAATAGTGTCATGTAGCATCCCGGACATTTGCATGATTGGCTGGAATTCAATTATGTAACATTATAGATACGAATTTTTTATACAGTTTAAAGTATTTTAAAAGAATGTAAAAACTTCGAAAAAAAAAAAACCAGTTTTACACATTGTGATATATATGTGTATTTCAATAAGTAGACTGTATCCATCTTCTAATGTCCGAATTTATTTTGAGCTTTAATATTATACAAAAGTTTATAGCTTTTTTATTTTGTTTCTGTATGCTCGCGTATAACATTGTGTATATATACAGTACTATTAGTTTTTAATAAGACAAGAATGCTACAGTTTGGTATCCAGCTTCTGTCTGATGAATGCATAATAGTAAATCTGGATGTATGGCTGAACAACCTACATTTAGAGCAGCAACACCTGTGTAGGTGCTAAGAAAAGACAATTTGTTTTTTTAGTTTGTGTTAAATAATTTTGGCAAAGTATGATTTGCCTGTTCCTGCAGAACCTGTTATAAAAGAGTAATGTTTGTTTCTTGATCTTGGATCAAAATTTTGTATAATAATGTTAACGACTTGATATTGGTCTTCGGGTGGATCGAGCATGATAGTTTTCGGCTGTATAGGCGGCAAAATGGTTAAGCATGTAGTTCGTGTGTGTAATATTCAGTAACCGTTGGACTCGTAACGAAGCTAAGTTTGTTGAGAAAATTTGTTATAAAGTCATGAAATTGATGCTCTCTTAAGTTTGAGCTTATGAGAAGATGTCAATATCTTCAACCAATGATTTATATTAGGATCTATATGGAGATAATATTGGCGGTAAGTTAAAAATTTACTGAGCAATTGGCTGTCCCCATCATTAACTATCAAATGTCAAGAATTGGAGAAGAACGTCTAATGACAAAATTATTTAATTGGTCTTAATGTGTTCAAAGAGTGGATTAATTGGACGGGCAAAATATTTATCATATCAAGAAAATTTTCCTTAACTATTTCCATGGATATGTACTGTGTTTGTTTGCGGTCAACGGTTCAAGACATTTTTTCGCTATCGTCGGTTTTTATTTCCGATTCAGGGATAAAGTACGTAAAGCGTACACGTTGCGGTTCTCCATCAGGTATATAGCTAAGTCTTAGACACTCTACGTGAAGCGGTTCAAGATAACTGATATTCAAGAATTAAGTGTCAAGAAACCGTTTTATGCTGGAGAAGCTGTTACGTGATATTCTATGTGGACATCACTCTTTGTATGTCATAATTATTAACCAGCTCTCGATTATACATAACTAAATGATATGGACGGAGTAGTTTGATTTATTTATAGTAAGACTGGATATAACGATATCTGTATATAACGATAACTGTATATAACGATAACTGGATCTAACGATAAAATTTGTCATTACCAAAACATTCTTATTTAATTTCACCTGGTTATACCGATTTTTACTATTAAAGCCTCGTTTTTTAATCAACCACCCTATTCGACAATCACCTGATTTCAACTCCACTATTTCATTGGTACATCCAACGATTGATTTACAAAAGTGTAGATAAATTTATATTTAAATTTAAATTCAATTCAATTCAATTTCAATGATAAATTGAATAAGGGAGGAAGGTTGTTTATATAAGCTTCCGTAAAAAAATTGTGGGTGTCACAAAAAAATTTCTTGTTACACCGTCACGCAGTTCTGTTTATACATACAATCTGTTCAAAATCTATTCGGTTTGTTCCCGTACAATCAACACAATGAATTTACTCCCTTAATCGAAGTAGTCATAACTGAAAGTAGACGTTTACTAGAAAGCAGGAATTAAGACAATCAGTTAATCCTAACATTAAAGAGTTTGACAAGCAAATAACAAATCGCTTATCGCGAAAATAACGCTAATATTGCGACTTTATCCGCAACCGTCTTTCAAGTAAATCATCAATGACAAA